TTCTCCATGTTGGGGGGGGGGGGGGGGGGGGGGGGGGGAATAAAAACATCTCTTAATAAAATCAATAATTTCCGAACATGTCTTATGAACTGCGGCCTCATGGACTTGGGATTTAGTGGCCACCCTTTTACACGGAATAAGAAGCGTTTTGGTAAATTATTTATTTGTGAAATAATAGATCAGACAGTAGCTAATCAAGGACGGACTAAGTTTTTCCTTAATACTAAAATCTACCACATTTCTTCTAGTTTTTCGGATCACTCTCTAACCCTTCTTGATACACACGAACAAAATTTCATTTTTTTCACACGTTCAAGAAGAGGATAATGGCTTTCATTAAGCTGCAATAGCAAAATCAAAACAAAAAAAATATTTTAGTTCAAATCAACAAAAATTGAAGAAACATCAAAACACTCAAAAATCAACGAACACTAAGAGATCGAGAGATAGAGAGAGAGAGATGCGCCATAGCTGCGAAATGCTACGAATTTAGACCACCCCGCCAATGACTTCTCATCCCAAACGCCTCCTACCAAAACCCTAGCCATCGCTAACTACCCAAGGTTCCGCGCTCACAAATGAAAACATTATAGAAATAAATTTAACAATAAAAAAATGAACAAAATTACCATCAAAATACTCGACGAGGGAATCCAACGGTGGGTAGCCCGTGAAATTTCGACTGCCGAAACACAAATTACACATCCGACAAGATCCACCATCGTCGAAATACGTACGGACTGCAAAACAATTGCAGAAATAGATCGAGTGATCCAAATTGAATGAAATCACCATAAAAAAAAAAAAAAAAAAAGCTCGACCAGAGGAATCCAATGGTAGTTAAACCATCAAATTCCGACCACCGGAGAGAGTTATGACTCCGGGAAGCAATTTCGCCGGTTGGAGATCTATGGGGGCAGGATTTTAATCTGAAATTTGAGAGAGGAATAGAGAGACGACTGTGAGTGGCTATGGTTTAAAACTGATTTTAAAAGAGCAATTTAGGTACTCCAGGGTAGCCGAGGGCAATATGCCAAATTATTATCAAAATGGAGAGGGTTTGCACTAGTATGTAATCCGCATGGTAGTAAGTCCTATTACTATATAATTTTGAAATAAGGGGGTCTCCAAAATAACAGAAATGCTATTCATAGAACGTTTTTTACTTGCTTGTAGTGCGATTTATTTCATTTGTAACTTTCCCCAGAAAAAACTCAGATTTGCCTGCTATTTCGTGGGTTATATTACGAAATGCATTCAACAGTTTCGTGTATTCTTACATGAAGTTTACGTGCTTATCACTATAGAACAAGGAGGACGAAGCTGTGGGATTGAAAAAAATCTTTAGTTTCCTGACAAAAAACACGAAATGACACCTTATATTTCGTGTAATATTACACGAAATTGAAGCTAAAGATTCATACAATATAGTACGAAATCACTAATTGAGTTTTTTTTTTAATTTAACCAACTTATTTGTCATTCAAATACATACAATAAATTAACATAAATATTCTTAAACTAAAGTAAAAAAACAAATTGACCTAAAATTCAAATACAAATACAAATTGACCTAAAATTCAAATACAAATTCAAATTGAGCTAAAATTCAAATACAAATACAAATTGAACTACCGATTAGACTTTAATTGTTCGTACAAGAGTAGTCGGGGTTTGAACATTTTGAATAAGTGCCTTAGGTTTTTAGTTCTATGATTTACCCAAGCCGGATGGATAGGTGGTAGAGGACTATTCGCGACCAAATTAAAAAGCATGAAATTATTGTTGTGCAATGTCACAACAATCATACATGATAAGTGACCTGCCAAACATAGGAAGGTAAGTCATACTCCATACTTGGGTGAAAAGTACCATTATTGCACTGTATCTGGTAGCAATGCCCAATCTCATTTCATTCATGTCCCCGAGGACCAGTCACACTTGCGTATGACCTCAACGTATCAAGTACTGCCAAACATCGTCGTGTACACATTAGCATACTCGTATAACTCAATAAGCAACTCCCCTCTCACTTGCAACCATCTTTCTTGATCCCCGTACACGGCTTGAGCAAAGCACCAGTATCCACAGTTGTCATCCGCCATCACGTTAACATAATCTTGAATAAGACGGACAATAAATCTGGGCACGAAAGAATAGAAGTCGATTCCTTCATGTGCATGTATTGTACGGGCAACATATTCTTGTGTGGGAATACGAGAACCACAACCTTTCATCTTATCTTCAATTGAGGCGTTTCATCTGTGCTTTTATCAACCTTTGCTTTAGGAATTTTTGCACTAGGGGAGGATTGGCGACCCTTGGAACCACAAGACGACTTAACTGTCCCCTCATCAATATGATACTGCCATCCGGAAGGGTCTCTCTTTGTCGAGTTATTCTTTGGTCGTTCTTTGGTCTTAACAAATGATGGGTCGAACAGATGCGAAGTAAGCGGATAAACGATGCCACGCAATGAGGCCACGGCATTTATCTTGCTTGTGTAATTCATCTTCTTCAAATTGCAATTCAGGTCATCAATATGTCTATCCACAATCCCCTCGCGGTTTACTTGATACTCAGGTAGCTTCGAAGGTTCAACTGCCATGGTACTCCAGAATGGATGCAAGTCTGAAATGACAAACGTGTCAGCACGCGCAAGGGAGCCCATGAGTATTCCAAAGATAATATGTGCAAATGCTCGGATCTTGCATCGCAGGGGACTCCATCTCTTCATCCAATTTCTCCAATGCCAGATGCGTAACATAACAAATCAAACCCTGAAAACACGGTCACGCTGCAGTATGCTTCCTTATCTTGGATGATAATGAAAAATCGCACTTCAGCTGACTAATTTGGATATAAATTTGCTCTCGAAGTTTCCCTTGCACGTTATCCAGACATCCGGTCGAAGCATTTTACCAACCATTTACAGAAGAATGAGCACTCTCCACCCTATCCGATTACAACGACAATCAAAATATACAACGACAATCAAATCACAAAATAAATAATGTTTTTATATAATATATTTTATCATTTAAATAATATCATTTAAATAACTAAAACATGTAATACATGTTGGTGCTCGTGTTGCCAAAATGATACACATTGCGGTTATATGCCTGGACAAACTTCTCCTTGTATATCAACCACGTATCATTCAAATACTGTATCAGTATAGGATATCCTGCATACCGTCCAACAATTTCATTGTAATTGTAATGGTACTCTTCTTCGGTTTCTGATTTCACCGGCTTAGCCCACAGCACACGTCGGAATATTAGACATTGGTCTTTAGTGCCTCCCATAAATTTCGTCGCATTTGCCTCAACATTTATATTTATATGGAATATACACAACATATGATACGAAACAGGAAATACATTTGGCAGTGCTTTCAAGAGACCCAACTCCCTGTCTGTCAAGATCGCATCAGGTTCGATACCATCTAACAATTCTCTCAAACAATTCAAAGTCCACTCGTAGGTGTCTGCATCTTCATGCGACATAAATGCAACAACAATCCTAAAATTCCTCCCAACTGGAGTTGTCCCAATTATTTCCAAAAGAGGCATTCCATACTTACATCAATGTTTTTTTTACATATTTAAATAATACAATACATTATAACACAACAATCATAATTTAAACAATCGTAATTTTTACCTACTTATTGGTTTTGTGTGTGTAGTTCATCAATATAACATACGGGAACAACCGTAACAACTTAATAGATTCGGGACATGCAAACATAACATCTATTATTGTGTTGCTTGTTTCACTATCGACGCAATGCCAATATCGATACTCGCCTTGTTGAAAGTTATGCATCACAAACTGAATAACAGTCATGCCCTCCATTTCCTCAGATTTAATCTTGGCCAACTCATTGTAAACATGCTTCATAGAGGTTTGTATCGTCGGATCATCTTTCCTCAATCTATCCATGATTAGCATTGGCTTCACGTGAGAATTTCTCAATTCTTTAATTCTTACTTTCTGTTGTGGAGTTATACGACTAGTCGTACCATGTCCGTGAAGAAACAAAGTCGGAGCATGAGTATGCCTGCCATCGCTGATAGTCAACCGCCATGATTTTTTATTTTTTGAAAAAATGACTATTATTAGGCATAGGAATCCACTTCAAAAGGAAGAGTATCACCATCAACATAGACCAAATCGGCCATTTTGAGCATGTGCATAGGCAAGACAATTGCCTTGTCTTTTAATAAAACCATAAGAACATGAAGAAAAATACAAGTGAATCAACCGCCATGATTCATCAAACTTATTGTAACGAAAACATATCACGATCTACAAAAGTCGGTATATTTGGAGGTTGAGAGGACTTGGAAAACGGTTAAAAGGTTGTTTGACAAATAAATTATTTCGCACTGTAATCGAAAAAAAATGCACTATAAATAGTAAGCCCCCAAATAATCCCTATATTTTTTTTTTGAGAAATAATATATTTTCTAAGAGCAACTCCAATGATGTTATCAAATAGAGTATTCAAACATTTAACCTCCATTTACATATTTAAAATTAGAAATCTTTAACTCCAATGGAGTTATCAAATAAGGTTTCCATTTTGATAATTCACCTTATGGGTTGTAAAAATACTTGCTAGAAATTGAGTTATCAAAAATATAATCTCCTAAATATCCAATCAAAAGTTGACACGTGGCAATTACAAATAAAATCATCCATAAACTTCCAATTAATAATTAATTTGATAACCATGGTTGGAGTAGATAAATTTTAAATCAATATTAAAATAATTCTCAAATATCAAATGAGTATTTGATAACTCAATTTTAATATCTACGCATTGGAGTTGCTCTAATATGGAGGGAAAAAATAAATACTTTATCGGAAAAAAGGCGGGAAAATGCTCGTTGACAAAGTCAAACTTGTAGATTTTGCAGATTTCCTGCAACTTCTATTCATGTATATCACAGAGTCACAATTATCAAAAAAAAAGTATATCACAGAGTCACACACACCACACTCGGGCTAGAAAAACCCATAATGCCCAAAACCCACAGCCATCAATCACCACCGCCTTGATTTTTCCGAGGAAAAAATGTCCGACGTCCCCTCCGAACTCGCACACGAAATACTCCGGCGACTCCCCGCCGAGTCTCTCCTCCGCTTTCGTGCCGTCTGCAAGGGGTGGCGCCGCCTCATCGACAGCCCATCCTTCATCAGAACCCACGCCGCCAATCAAACCTCCTCCACCACTCTCCTCATCAGAAACTCAATCGGCACTCGCTTTTGTTCTCTAACCCTAGATTCCCTAAACTTTGAAGACACCGACCAAACAATCGACCTAACCCCGGTCAAGGCACTGTACCGCACCGGAGTGCCACGCGCCCCCGTTCTTCCGGTGGCCTCCTGCAACGGCCTGATCCTCAATTCCCATTACGACATCGACAAAACCTGGGTCATATGGAACCCGCTAACCCGGCAATTCCACGAGTTGCCGGAATTCGAGGGCCACTCGCGATTAATAGGTAGTGGGCTCGGCTACGATTCGGTTTCCGACGACTACAAAGTTGTTAGGCTAGATGATCATTGGGGCTGCCGTAAAACTGTACGGCGAACTAGTATTTACGGCCTGAAATCCGATTCATGGAGGGTTATCGAGAATTACCCTTGTGATTGTATCTGGCCAAATCAAATCGTCGGGGTTTTCCTGAACGGCGCACTCCACTGGCTATCGCGGGACTCCGTAATCGTGCTGGTTCTCGAAACCGGACGCTACCACAAACTTCCGTTGCCCGAACCGACCGGGATAGCGGAGCTCTTCGAAACGCATTTAGACGTGTTGGGCGGGTGCTTAGTTGTGAGCTACTATTACATGATCACTCGATTGGATGGATGGGTGATGAAGGATTACGGAGTCGGTGATTCGTGGGCGAAGTTGTTTTCGTTCGGGGAACTAGCTAATATTGGTGCTATGGGGAGGCTTAGGCCCGTTGCGTATTTCAAGAACAGAGGGCACGTTTTTCTGCAGCACGACGATGACTTTTTTTGGTTGGATATTGCGAATGATTCGGCGAAGAAAGTTATTGTTCATGGGCTACCGCATAATTTCACTTCTCAAATTGTCCCGGGGAGTCTTTTTCGACTGGATGAAAGTTGTGCTGCTGCCGTGAAAATTACGGCTGGAACGAAGAGGAAGAGGAAGACGACGATAAAGAAGAACAAGGCAGATGCAAGGTTGATTAATTTATTTTATAGAGTCGATTAATTAACTTTCTATTTAGAGAGTTGATTAATTAATACAATGTTTTTAACTTGTTACAGGGTGGAACACTCTGTAAGAATAACCGATGTTTGGTCTCGTTCGGATTCGACTCCAGAAACTAGTTGGTCCGGTAACGATGATTATTACGGTGATGATGAGTACTTTTAACAACTGTGTTTTTGGTGGAATTGCAATGGACGTGTGAAAGAAGACACTCTTTCTTGCATGGATAAATATGTAATTATGCACCTCATAGTATTTTGATGTTAAGGTTTTTTGGTTATGAAGTTATGATTATGATTTATGAATGTAGGTAATATGATCTTAACAAATTTTTCCAAGTTTTTGGTGATTCGGCTTAAGTGAAAGAAAACAAACTGATTTGTCTTCTGTTCCAACTATTTTTTTGTATTTTGCACTTTAATTAATAATTATGTTCTCATTATTTTTTTTTTCTTTTTAATATTGTCTCTTAGTTTAAGTTTACATGAATGGTATGTTTAACAAAATTATGGGTGGAAATTGGAACGAAATTTTCGATTTTCGCTAACCCCGATCAGAATTTTTTTTATTTTGGAACAATATTTTTCAATCCGAAATACCGACTTCTGATTTTTTCAAAATTATTTGGATTGGAGTTGGAATATATATGAGATTATGATTTCCAATTTCCAATCCGATTAAAGTTCCGAAAATAATTCCAAAAATTCCAATTTTTTTCCAAGTATTACAATTTTTTTTTATGGTACGGATATTACAATTAAAATACCAATATGCATTTTATATTTAAGGTGAGCAAAAATTGGAAATTTTCGAATTCCGACGATTTTGATTCGAAAATTTTCGATTTTGAACAAGTTCTTACGATCCAATTCGAAATTCTGATTTCCAACCTTTCCCGATATTTTTTTTTGAACGGAATTGGAATTAATTTTTCACTTGCCAAAAAAATCGCATTTTTTCTGAAATACTAATTTCGATCCGTCCGACTTACACCCCTAAAAAAAATAATTTTTAAACTACTTGTATAATATTAAAACATTGGGAAAAATACAGCTTTCATCCCTGAAGTTTGCACCGATTTCACATTTAGTCTCTCATGTTCACAAAAAACATTTGGACCCTTATATTCAAAAAATTCAACACTTCAGTCATGTCCGACAATTTTCCGTTATTATTATTGGAATCAACTCATCAAGCGTGTGTCCATCACTGACTCAACTAAGAGACTAACGGTAAATTAACGAAAAAGATCAAAAATGTTAAATTATTAAAATATGAGGAACCATGTGTGTTTTTTTGTAAACAATGGGTAGCCAAATACAAAATATGTGCAAACTTAAATGATGAAAACTATAGATTTTCCTTAAAAGATTACTAGTTTGTCATTAAAGTCATATACGTAATCAAAATCATGTAGGAGAGGAAGGAAGGAGATAATTATAGATATGGTATACAATATTAACAAAACCGAAAAAATGATAATGTTTTTTACACTATGCAGACTCTCATTAGCAAAAGGAAAATTTGGGATAATTACTGTTTGGCTGCGGCTATATGGAATACTAATTTTACTTGCGCAAGACCAAATTAAAGAAATATTCTAAAAGGTTCAATTTTATTAAGATGAAATGACAAATATACCCATAAATTATATTGACTTTTGTTTGCTCATGCAAGACCAAATAACTAATAATAAAAAAAAAAAAAAAAAAAACCGTGAAATTAAAAAAACCCATCCCCTGTGAAACCCTACCCTACGCCCAAGCTCCGCCGCCCAATCTCTGCCGCCCAAGCTCCGCCGCCGACCGCCGCTCATGATGCAACGTTTTTTATGTCTTGTACATATTTTTAAAACATTGGATTAATTTGGTCAATAAATTGCGTCTTCGTACTCGCTTTTTGCGATAAAAAATAAATAAATAAATATTGAAATAAAAAGTAATTGGAAAATAGAAAGTAAAAAAAAAATGAAACAACTAAATTTCGACATTAAGGTGTCGAATATATGTCCAGAAATTTGACACCTTAATGTTGAAATTTAGTATATTTGGACTAATTTGCTAACAGTTAAATTTCGACACTAAGGTGTCGATTTTGTACTAAAAATTTGACATCTCAATGTCGATTTTTACCTATAAAATTCGACATGTACATGTCGAATGCATATGCGCGGGATTTTTTTTGGAAAAACGACATTCTACCTAAAAAAACACATAAATGCATACCTTCGTGGGTTCTTCCACCGTAGAATCTTCTATTTTGATGTCTTCTGACTCCATACTTGCCATCTTTGTAAGATTTGTTAAGTTTTGAAGATTTTGAATGTTTAGGTTTTGTGGGTTTATGGAGAAGGAAGGAGAAATGTTTGGTGGGTTTTGGAAGATGGAGAAGATGGGAGTTGGTCTTGTGGTTTTGTGCTTGGGTTTTTGTGTTTTTGAGTTTTTAGTATTGCACATTTGAAATTTTCTATTTTTTAACAAGTAAGGGTATTATAGTATTTATACATTAAAATATTTAATTTGGTCTTGCACAAGTGGAATTAGTCTTGCATATAACCGCAACATTACTCTTTTCATCCCTATACTTGTTACTGAAAATGATTTTAGTTCTTAAACTTTCACTGTCACGATTTTAATCCTCAAACTTACCACTTTTGATACTTTTGGTTCGAGTGTCAAGTTTCTAAGCAAAATTAGATGGAATAGCACATGTGGCAGTAAAAATCGAGCTTGGATAGTCCTCCCGTCCATTTTGCAGTCTAATTATGAGGTGGAGTAACACCCTTATTATCTCCTCCTATTTCTATCCTCATATCCCTAATTCCATATAATTCCTTATGAACGTAAACCATGCCCCTAAATTTCCTTTTCGAAACTTCCAATTGAAGTGAAATAAGGCAACACCAAAATCACTCAATCGTTCACAGTTTAGAAACCTTTGTGGATTTGGAACTTTCATAAGGAATCATTGGGGATAGTTCATAACTTGTCCGAGCTCTTGCATGTGACAGCCCCTCTCCAAGGGCTATTGGAATTCAAACACTTTTTTCAATGGGATAATTTGACAAAAGCCCCCCACCCATTATACAAGTGTCATTACAGTTAGTCCAATTTTATTTTATACTTTTAAGATAAATCCAAAACATTTTTTATTAATTAAAAATAATTAATTATCACAATTATACCCCTAACTAAAAAATAATATATATTTAATTTTGATATTAAAAGATATATGTTAAGTGTATATTTTTACACTTTATCGTATCTTTTTATTTGAGCTTTTGGTGTGTTTTAATGATAATTGGTGCTTAAAAAGTTGATTTATTGTATTTTAGGTACAAATTGAAGAATTGGAAAAGTATGGGGTCAAAACTGCAATTTTGGAGAAAATATGGGCCAAAAGTGAAAAAACCCAAAATCTGGAGATTTAAAGCTCGGACGGCCGTCCGAGTTTTAGTTCAAATTATGGGACGGCCGTCCGAGACCCCGAAACAGCGCAGTAAAGGGATTTTAATTGCACAAGGAAACTGCCTTCTTCCCAAAGTTCTTCACCATATATAAGACCAAACCAAGCACACAATTGAGAGGGCTTTTTACGCAATTTCAAGAGCAACAAAGCAATAACGAAGACGAAGAATTCGAAGACTCTAAGCAACGATTTATCGTTTATGATTTATTTTATTTGTGTTTTTCCTTTAATCATGAGTAGCTAAATTTCTTATTTCTAGGATTTTGTTTGGAACCCTATGTGGGATTTATGAACCCTTTTCTATGATTTTATGCAAGTTTTAATTCCGGATTATTTCTTCTACTTGTTTTATTAAGTGCATGAACTTGATCAACTTATGTGCTTTTATGTTATTGTTAATCGCATGAATCGGAAGATCGGGTTAATAATTAGAACTGTGGTAGAAGAGCCTTTGTGGTATTAACATAGGAATATAGTTAATCTCTTAGGTAGCCATTATTGAGATTTATGCTTAATGTTGTGTTCTAGAATTAATTGCATAGGAATATAGTAATTGAATCTAGAGTATTAGAATCGTAATACACGCGGAAGCAGGTTATGATTATTTTAGCATCTCAGGTTAATAATCCGGGTTAATTGCTTGCATAACTGAAGGAATTGGGGGAATAATAATCACATAGGGGGAAGAATAAAATCCTAGGCTCCTTTTCTCTGATTAAATCTTTGTTTCAAACTGCTTTCTTGTTTTTGCTTGCTTTTTAATTTAGTTTAATTTAGTTAATTCTCTCTAAATTCGACTGTGTAGGGTGGGCTTGATAATAATTGCTAGGATTTAGCGTCTAGGATTAGATAATTAAATATTCCCTGTGGGTTCGATATCCGGACTTTTAGTCCACTATATTACTTGTACGATACGTGCACTTGCGTGTAAGTTTTCGGCCAACAAGTTTTTGGCGCCGTTGCCGGGGAATATTTTAATTATTTATTTTATTCTAGCTCTAAATTTGAACAATTTTCACGATTCACCCATTTAATTTTTTTTTATTTTTTTTTTCTTTTTAGGTACTGTGTATGCGTAGGGGACTCGATCTTGCTAGAGAACCGTTTGATCCCGAAATCGAACGTACTTTTCGAGCCGCTAGGAGACTTCAACGCGAATACAATACAATGGAGGACGAAGAACGCAGGGCAGCGGGTAATTTACTCGGGGCCAACGAAAACCAAGTCCAAGACCCACCCCCCTCAACTTCCAGCACAGCCAGTAGTTAGGCCACGGGCACTTCAAGATTACATAATCCCAACTCTAGACGGATTCCGCCCGAGCATCCAATATCCACCCATTGAGGCGCACAATTTTGAGATCAAGCAAGGCCTTTTGACGATGCTCCAAAATAACGGGCTATTTAGTGGGTTGGCAGGTGAAGATCCCCATCTTCACATTGTCAATTTTCTAGATACCTGTAATTCTCACCGTCAAAACGGCGTTTCCCAAGAGGCGCTTCAATTAATTCTCTTCAAGCACTCCCTACAAGGAAGAGCTCGCCAGTGGTTGATGTCCCAAGCCCCCCACTCTATCTCGTCGTGGCCTCAACTCTTCAACCTTTTCATGAAAGTTTATAGCTCACCCGAGAAGGACGAGAGAATCCGACGAGAAATTCATATTTTTTTCCAAGAGCAAGGCGAGCAATTATACGAAG